TGCGAGTCTTATGATGGGGGTGTGTACCCTCATATCCTCCCCATCTCTGCTTCAGTGTTACTTAACCTTTCATAATAGTTTTCCATGTCTATGCAACATTTCTAGCAATTGCTAACTAAGTACATGTGTGTAGGGTCTAGAGAACAAATTTAAAACCATGCATGCCTTAAGGATTAATATATGAGTGCTCAGAATGGAATTCTGAAAACAACTGTGCTGTACACTGAAATATGGCACTTTATTATTTTCAGTGCTTTTGACTAATCCCAAATTGAGATAATGCTAAACAGACCCAATTAGTTCAATAAAAAGAAGGCAACATTCAGTCTAGCAAAGTCGTTCATTATAATATTTATTCTATGAAACAAAGAAGAAAACATAAGATTAAAAAACGTTCCATGCATTTCATAAAATACAGACAAAGACATTTTCACAAACAAAACAGAATAAGCAAGCAAAACCCCCACTGAAAATCCCAAGAGCTCCACTCTCCACATTGCATCATATACATGCATATACAAGAGAAAGAGCCGTCTAAAGAAAGTGGTAGGTTATCTGTCAATATCTTGGATGAGTAAATCAGCCCACAAGACTTTTGCCATCGCCTCTCATTATAAAACCAAACTGATGCAACTTGTTTTCCTTGCTACCAGTTCTTGGCATTGTCTTTGGCTGGGAAACGAAGGCAGCACAGCAGAATTCGTATTAAGTTGCAGGCTAGAAAGACACTGGGGCCCAAATTGTAGGTAGGTACAGAAAGATAGCAGGGCACAGTGGATGGGAGGAGACGGCAGTTGTTCCACTGCTGGAAGCAAGGTGGAAGGACATGCTCTGACTATCTTACTAGGAACATGGAGGGTGGGAAATACATCCTGAGAAAGAAGTATGGGCAGAAGCAGGGAATATATCTAGTACCTCTCTTCAAGAGTTCCAGTAACATAAAAGACTGCATTATAAAAGGATGCTGAAAGCAACACTTTTATTTAGGTTACAAGTTACATTACTATAAACCTTCTTACTGAAAGCTTTTGATCCAGTTCTTTCTCCTCAACCTACAGTACTCCATTTGGCTTTAACAAAGCTGTTATGGGATCCTCCCCTGGCCTTTTTTTTTTTTTTTTTTTTTTTAAAAAAAAAACCTCTCAGACTCCCACAACGGTTACCAACCACATAACTACTGACCACAAAGCCAGTCTAACTCTGGGCTCTGACACAAAAACAGCCCCTGCCTCTTATTGGGAATGCCCAAAAGCTGCCATAGCTGTATTTGGGGAAGGTGGTGTAGAGAAAGGAAGAACAAGGCTCCGCTTACACAAACACTTATTACCCCCAAAACCCCACTCCATGCAGGCTTAGGAACACCAAAAATCAGTTTCATGTGGGGAGGAGCAAAAAGAAGCCAACGGACTTGGATCCTTCCCCCTGCACCCGAGGATGCATCCACTTCTCTGACAACAGCATTCTTCTGCTAGCTACCAAGCTATCTCTGTTGCAGTGAGGAAGGTTCTGCATTCTGCCTCCTGTGAATGATGCACCATGGGGGAAGATTGTTACAGTTACAAATGTGGTTTTCATATTGTTTCTTAAAAACGTAAAGCTAGGAATTTACATTTTTGAAAAATTTAGAGTAAAGTGTAATTTAACCTGTAGAATGAAAATTAGAAGATGTGAGATATAGAATTGCCCATGCTACACCTTAACTGTTCCTTTGCATGTACGTGTCAGGAATATGACTTTATATCACATGATCTTTTCAACTTTCAATCCCCAGAAGAACCTTATTTCATTCCCTGGACAAGCACAAATGAGGCAGAAAGAAGACTCCATAGGAAATCCCAAGTCCAGCATTTCTCACTTCTGAATGCTTGCAGCTAGAATAATGTTTTCTTGATGGAGTTTTTAAAATTCAATTATGTTTTATGTGCTCCATTTACCTTGCATTAGGAAAACAGAAAATGCTGTAAAAGATTAAGGTGTCAGATCTTTACAGGTCTCCACAGGCCTTGGTGAAACACAAAGATTGAGTTTTCTTTTAAAATAACTGCCCAGCTTCCTAGCTAGTGTAATTTCTGTGTTGTCCATGTAAACATTACAGAGTCTTTGTACCACCCACTAAGCTCTTTGCTTCAATCAACTATCTGTGCCCAAAAGCACATCCTTATGTTTCTTCCTACACCACAGCCATCCTCCTACGCCACAAAAGATGTAACAAAATAGGAATTAATCATAGGCTGGATACTCACAGGGATTGCTGCTGTTTGCTTCTGTCTTCCCAGCCTTGGCCAGTTTGATTGAGTTCTGCTGTGCTTTGCCCTGCTCCTCTCCAGTTAGCAGGGCTTTTATTTCAGAGGGGATTTTCCCTTGGTCCATCGCCATGCACCACTGCTTGTACTGAAATATGCAAACACATTAGGCACCAGCGAACTGCCAGGATCACGTTAGCAGACAAAACAGAGCTGTAATCTTTCCCTTCCGGTATATTCATTTAAGGTTTGAATTTACTTGGGCTGAAGCCTCTTACAAAACTGCAGAGCACTAATGAGCTAAGCACGTGTCCAGGTTGCATACCTGGCCTCAGTAAATCCTGCCTCAGTCAATAAACTGCTACTCAGTGGCAGTACTAGACACAATACTGTAATTATTAAACAACATGGAACACTTTGTGCATTTTCTCACTGCTGGCATGCCAGAATACCGTTCCAGTTCATGGCCTATTAAAAACAAATAGTTCACATGACTCTGGGGCTGATTGACTATTAAGAAGTCTTTTCTGATTGTGCAAGGCACAGTTACATCACATGTGCCTTATTCCTAGTTCCCTCATCTTAAATTCTTCATTGGCAAACCCTGAAGCACACCGAAAAACCTGTGGTCAGTTGGCTGACTTTCCACCCAGTCCTAACCCTATTCACTTGTGGTGATTAGCCCTGCCTATTCAAACAAACCTAATGCAAGGGCAAGGCAGTATCGTCAGCTCCAGTGAAATTTCAATGGCATCTCAATAGCACTGAGGAGCTAAGTCTGTATTTCCAGATGAAACATTCTCTTTGGTTAAGGCAGCTTATTTGGCCAAGACACCCATCTTATACGTGCTGGAACACAGGACAGCTGTGCAACCATGTACACAGAGTATCCTGCAAGAATCAACCTCCCCAACAAACGTCTGTGGGAAGCAGTGACACACTGAACGTACATCCCCCTTGGTATTTTAACACATCTCTTTCCACCCTCTACCTCTGTCAGAGTTTTTCCAAAACAAACATTTCAAATACAACAGACTCATAAGCAATGGCACTTTCTTTGCTTGCTTCCAGTTCAAAACCAGCAGATAACTTTTGACATGGGCTTCATATTCAACATACAAAGTAGGCAAACAGCTGAGTGCATCTGTTACTGATGTTTTGATACCTTAGGGCTAGCCAAATCCCACTCTCAGTCACAGTGATTTCAAGAGCAAGTGTCGACGAGGGCAGGTCCTAAATAATACTGACGGTTAGGTTAAATGATCATTTCTTACCATTTCAAGCTCTTCCCGAAGAGCACAGATGGCTCGCTCTCTGCTTGAAACCAGCTCTTCCAGGTACTGGTACCTCAGCTTCTTCCTAGCTCTGCACTCTCTTGCACTCTGACGACTTCTTTCAAGCTTTGCCTTCAAGTCTATTTTGGCTGGTTTACGACCTCGCTTGCCTGGTTTCTTTACCTTGCCTCCAACCACCTGAAAAGGAAGGGTACATTAAAGATGTTCTGCAGAGGGAATGCTGGAGCCATGTCATTGTGCCTACTAGGTGTCTCAAGTAGAAAATTCTGCATACACTTTCACTGATTCTGAGCAACAGAGGAAAGATGCAGCTTGTTTAGGGGGCTGATGTATGAAGTTTTCAGTGATAGCATCGAAAACAAAAGGGAGGGATATGACTTCAATATGAAGTCAGTGCTTAAGCAGTCCTGTTGTAAATGCTACTAATCTGATTTGGAGGAACAGCATCACAGAACAGTTGAGGTTGGCAGGGACCTCTGGAAGTCATCTGGTCCAATCCCCCCTGCTCTAACAGGGCCACCTAGAGCTGGTTGCCCAGGGCCATGTCCAGATCCCTTCTGAATATCTTCAAAGATGGAGACTCCACCACCTCTCTGGGCAACCTGTGCCAGTGTTTGGTCACCCTCAGAGCAAAAGAAATGTTCCCTGATGTTCAGAGAGACCCTCCTGTGTTTCAGTTTGTGTCCACTGCCTCTAGTCCTGGCACTGGGTACCACCAAAGAGAGCCTGGCTCTGTCCTCTTTACACCCTCCCCTTCAAGTATTTGTACGCACTGATGAGGTCCCCTGAGCCTTCTCTTCTCCAGGCTAGATGATCCCAGCCCTCTCAGCCTTTCCTCAGAGGAGAGGTGCTCCTTCATCATCTTGCTGGCCCTTTGCCAGACCCTCTCCAGTAGCTCCATTTCTCTCTCGTACTGGGGAGCCCAGAACTGGACACACGACTCCAGATATCTAGGAGGATATCTGGGATGCCTAGGAGACAGAGATGATCAGTCAAATTCATAGCAAAACTGCTTTATCATTACCAACAACTCCTTCCCTAATATAGTGCTTCTAGAGTTGGCAAGTACTATGGAGTTTAACACTTTAATTTGGAAGAAAAGGTATTTATTTATAATCAATATAATCCAAAACTTAGTTTTGCCGCAATAAAATGAGTAGGTTTCAGCCTACTCGAAAGATGAAACTTGCCAGAATTACGAGCCATCCGAGCTTCCTCAGTCCTGATTTCTTTCAAAGGAATCTTCTGAGGATTTTTACTAAACAGGGAACTCTGAGTTACACTGAGTCCTACCTCTGCTGCCTCTATTCCAGTTGTACTTAACTGCTCTGGCCATGTTTACCTTTGAAGCAGTACTACACAGCCTGGAAAGTCATCTCCTCATGCCTCCTCATGCAACCTATCCCAATGTTCAACTCTCCCAGCACCTAATTTACATCTCCCTTGCAGAACTGTAACTCCCTGGTTTCTACAGACTGCAGGTTTTGCAATCATTTTTACCTCTTCTTTGTGGCTCCTTTTTTACAGGTCAGAAAACTTCTCTTGCTACAAATAAAAAAAAGAGAGGGAAAAGTTTCCTCGGTGTTTACTCTGTGCTTCCCCACCCAAATATTTTACTCTTAACATGAGAGCATGGCACATGAAAGTCTTAAATATGGTCTGAAATTCAGTACAGTGGCCATCGGGTAGTATTGCCCTGTAAGCATTACATCAGCCACACACCCCACCTCCCCTCTGAAGTGAGGATTTCTTTTATTTGCATTCTGACCACACTGTTTGAATGGAGGGGGTGTGGAGAAACACACCTAACACACACCTACACACAAGAATTTCACTGCTGGCTTAGTGTTTCACCGTACTGTGTATAGATGGTACTTTTTCTAATAGGCAGTGTTCAAAATATCAGAGTTCATAACAAAAAAAAAAGGCACTTTTTACTGTGTGATGCTACAAAATAAGTCAGCTTTGACATTCAAGGAAGTCACTTGTTCTACAAACTTCACAGGCTGCAATAAAAACCATAACATAATGAATTGATGTGCTAGAAAGAAGAAGAAAAAGAGGATTATACAATTGAGCCTATTCTTTCTTTGCAAAGTAAGTCAACAACCACATGCCAACATAATCCTACCCTTTCTACATTGCCTCTCCTAATTTATTCAGGTGTAGCTGCTTACCATAAGCAAATGGAAGAACTGAAAGTACTTAATGGACATCTAGTGATAATGAAACAAACATAATACATTCAGAAAAGCAAAGGAAAAAAAAAAATCAATCTCTTACATTTGAACTACTGAATACAGTTTGAATAATTCATTCACTCCATCAAGGTGCTCTCCTTAAGATCTTCTAGTTCAAATACTACATTCACCGAAATATATAAAACTAACCAGCCATGGCCAAGGGAGAAAGAAGCTCCAAAGAAAGGAAAGCGACTGTCCCCTTTCAGGCATGACAAGCGCAGCTCTGTCCTCTCATGGAACCACACTGATATTTCTGTGTGGTGTGATATACACTCCTAGCTCAGTAGGAGTTAGAAATACACAGTCTTCCCAGGAGGGGCTGTAGGCACTCACAATTTACTATCTATTATTACTCGCACTTGAAAGATTTCTGGATATTACATTATACCCTACAGCCAAAGTACTTCAGTTCTCAAAGACTTTTAGCGCCTGAGGTTCTTCTGTGCCAATGCAAGGTAGTTTGAAGTAAATCTTTGAATTCAAGAGCTAGATAAGGTCTTGTAGAGACATACACTCCAGCTCTCTTAAAAAAAAAAAAAAACCACAAACAACTTTGCCACTCTTTGAGCTCTGACCCACTAGAAGAGTGGGCTAGCACTCGAGGTTGGAGTCCCAGCCCACCACATGCTGCTGAATGAACAAAATAATAACTCGAGTCTTAGTCCTGTGCATGTCACAGCCATGCCCCTTCACCAGAAGGTCAGGCAGGTGAATAGTTGCCACCATGCTGTTTCTCACAACCAGCAAGTCAAAACTACTTGGATATAGCACCCAACCTTTTCACAGCCATCATCCTGGGCAGGCACCAGCACTGAAGAGCGCTTGCAAGCAGCACAGCTTCACAATTAAATCCATCCAACACCACAATCTCATAAGATAATTTCTTTTTAAGGACCTGTTATTTCAAAGCATCTTGTGTGTGCTTATATGTAGCTGATGCCTTTTCCAAGGGAGGGGTCACATCAACACAAAAAACATACAAAGGGCAAGGGGGAGTGGACTGTTATGCCAATAAGGTATCAAGTGAGCTCGTACAAACTCTGAGTTTAAAGGCATGTTTTTATGGACAGATCTAGAGATGTGCACATAAAACAGTTAAGGGCACTTTGTAGTCTGCAAGGAAATCAGACACTGGTGTAGACTGCTTTGCACATTGCAAAGGCACCCTGGATCCACCATTATCTGCTTTCCCTTTGGTCACCCTAGAGAGCTTTCCACAGACAGCTGTACTAATTGCCCTGTCTCCCCCAAGATCTTTTACCACTGCAGCAGCCCTGCACACAAGCTCTCTTATGGGAGGAAAAAGGCTTATACCTCTGGGGTCATTGCTTGCCAATGCTCTAACCACCAGGACTATGGAAATAATGAAAAGCATCCTTCCCTTTTAACTCCGACTTTAAGCAGCAAGACCCTAGTAATCTGCCTTCACACCATCCTGAAAGACTCATACTGTCTTCATGGATCCTGAACTGCAGTTCACCATACAATTAGGCATCACTCCGCACAGTTAGTTTGGTAAGCGATTTGATCAAATCCTGCATCCTTAACAGTTTTTCCTCACCAATATTTAGAAGTCCTGGTGTAACCTTAAGCAACCCAGCTGGGGAAAAAAAGGCCTGATAAATCCTTTGCCACCATCCCATATTACCATATCTCCCTGGCTTCTAGTCATGTTTGCCTACTCAGTTGCTATGCTGATGTGACAGAAAGAAGACAAAGCAGAAGTGCTAGTTGATGTTGAACATGGCAGCAGACCAAGAAAAACCAAGCAAGCAAACATTTTTTTATTCCTTTTGTATTCCTCGGGAGTTTATAAAGGGATGGGATCTATTAGCATTCAGCAGTAGGGATTTGGTTTTTTTCACGGAGTCATATGTAATCAAGACTCAAAACAATATTAATCATAAAATTTGTCATAGAAATATTAATAATGGCATGCATTTGTCAGAAATCCAATCAAGCTCCTATTTCAGTTCACTCGGACCTCAGAAAATAGAAAAACATAACTCCCTTTTTAATACAGTATTTAGATCATAACATCATTCTCACCTGGCATCAGTGTTCAGGTACAAAATCATTTGACCTGGAACTGGAAGTACCTGCAATTACTTGCCCTGATATAGAATAAACCCTCAGATTTCTGGATTTTTTTATTAGAGGGATTCAGCAGATCTCTACAGAAGCACTGCCAGATTGCGTGATGGAGACATCCTCCTTTGGAAGGAGATACAAACACGATATGGCCACTAGCATCCACACCCCCCAAGGAACTGAGCTGCTCAGATAGAAGACTGTGATAAAGCTGGCCTCACCGTGACATCTGCAGGTATTGAACAATTTGACGGATTAAAACACTATCTGAAGCACTGTTCAGCACTACCGATCAGCGATGCTGATCGCATTGACCCATTCAGCATCTTCCAGCAGCTCTCAGTTCATTCACAGATAAGCAAGCAGCTCTTAAGTGCTCCATCAACCAGTACTTGAGATCCAGCTCAAGGAATCATCTTAAGCAGACTCTTGGTTGCATTAGTGGCTGAAGGTATAGGTCTGTAGAATTTAAGTTAGCATGGAGCTGATGATCATCTACAGAATTTATATAAAACTACAAAAATAATTAGCAAGAAATAAAACCTAAGCACTGAATTCATTACAGTAGAGGAGGAAGGAATCTATTCGCACTCGCAAACATTTTCTCAAAATCAGTAATCAAATTAAGTCAGTCGCAAGTCTCCTAATAAAGATGAAGTTGTCTGATCTGCTGAGTCACAGCATACCATTCACAGTAGCAGTATATGCAGTAGCTGGAAAATACGCTGGTTATTCTTCCATTGCATGACATTTTATATGCTTTACACAGATTATTTAGTTAACTTTCACTGGCGAACAAAATGCATCCAATAATGATCCAAAAATGTAAGATGTTATTTACTAAGCAAACACTTTAAGTCTTAAGCAGATATGATAATGGAAATTAATCCTAAAAGTCTAATCATACAAAGTGATTAACATACTAATAAGGTAATCTTTAGCACAGAAGTGTAAAGACAACTATCTTTGCTGAAATGTCTATCTTTTAAAAAGCATAAGCTAGGAATAAATATCAAGTTTTCCTAAAGTGTTACGCTGGCGCCCACAAGTCAAAATGGGTAATCATTAAGGTTCAGGGTAGGAATCGCTACTTAGACTCCGCAGGAATCAGCCGGATGCCACCTTACTGCTCAACAGGTGAGAGTCCTCTGCTTCCCCCAGGAAGGACAGCTTCACACGTGGAAGCGTGCCTACCAACACACCATACAGGTTCTCCCAGTTTATACTAACAGAACTCAGGCACTTCTTTAAACCTCTCTCCATGGGAGCTTGAAACAGGCAACAAGGATGGTCAGCTAATGCTACACTACGTATATCCTCCTAGCCCACCCCAAACTGTTCTGTGGGGTTTAAGCTCATCCATTTTACTTACCCATTGCAAATGTGAGAAAGCAGATGTGTCATCTGAGCGATGCTGAGCAGCGACTTGTTAAAACATTTGACGACTTGAAGTTGCCCATCTCAAATTATAACCAAAGCTATTTAGGTTTTATATTTCCAAGCAAGCAGCAATGAGAGCACTTTATGTTCGGACATGAGCCTGGGAGGAAGAAGCCTCCGGCACTTTGCAAACCTGTGCATTCTGAAAAAGTCCTCAAGGATGAAAACATAGTAACCCACCTCCTTCACAACTGAGATTATTATGAAAACAGATCCTGTGCTTTGCTCTCCACACTAGCTCTGTCCCTGCCACAGCATTCAAAGCATTCCTCGGAGTCGATTCCAGGATCGCCTGGGAGATCGCCCCTCTCTTTATGATCCCGGTCACCCACAACAGCGAGGGTCACAGCCAGAGACATGTGAGAAGACATCTCGTGAATGAACACCCATCAAGCCCTTTATTTTAAGCACAAGATTTCACATCTGACTTGCTGCCACACTCCCTCCAAGGGATGTTTGCATCCCTGTAATTATGACTTACAGCAAAACCCCCCTCGGGATCACACACGACCGGGCATTTGATGTTTCAAAGCTCGGCAGCAGGGAAAGTGGTGCAAGTCCTTGCGTGCAGCATTTTGCTGTGGCCTTCCTCTGCCTTATCACCAAGCGCTCCCCCAAAATGGAAAGGTTGTATGAACACCAGAGCAAGACATCAACAGATGCTCGACTCATAAATATAAATGCCCCATACAAACAGTTTATCTGAGGGCTTGCTTTCTCAAACTCAGTTAACACCTGAAAACACTCTGACCTTACCTATTTAAAAGCTTTTCTTTCACTTCACACATTGCAAGTTTGTGGAAGTTTAGAAATAGTCAGACCTCAAGACCAACGTCCTTGCCCTGGGACCAGCCTGATGGAGAGCAAACAATCTGAGCCGGAGACCGGGCTTTCAACAGCCACAGCCTCTTTTACATGTATAAAGAAATTTGCTTCTTCATTTAGAGGAAGCAGCAATTTAATTACAAGCAAAAGAAAGCCAACAACCAAGAACCAGTCTGTTCAAAGTTGAGAAACTAACCTGGAATTAAAACAAGTGCAAGAGATTGAGATCTACTCTTTTAAAAATCTGAGAGGGGACTGTTCTGCCGCCCAATGCATATAAATATGTAAACTTGTAGTCTTGTAAACTAACCACGTAATTTCACCTATAAAGGCTGAAATCACAGTGACAATTTCTCCTTTTTCCTGTGTCTTAAATACTTCAGAGATACATAAGTGTTATTTTAACAGAGATTAATTGCCAAAGAACAGCTGCATCACTAAACTTTCCCTCACACAACCGAGAGCTCAAACCACAGCAAGAAGTGAGACCAGCATCTGAATAAGCCCTAGTTTCAGAGCAACTCTGTAGCAGAAAGATGAGAAGGTCACATTTTGGGTTTGGTTGGGGTTTTTTGTGTGTATAATTTAAGAACATCCTTTAAAACCGGAACATGAAAGTTTTCTAGATCTGACGTTCAGACATTCTACCTCTCCCTTTATTTCTTATTATTTCCTTCCCATTTTGAGGAATATGTTTAGATGAACCATTTTTCGATTGCTCCTAGTGCACTAAGAATTAGGGAAAACATTACAGCCTGCAAGCCCAATTCTAAACTCTTTACGTCAGGTAGATGAAGGAAAGCACTGGACTTGCGTGGATGCAGCTATAGAACAGCTACTTCACTACTAATGTAATTTAGTTACTTCAGGTTTTACAGGGAAATTCCTTTCACAGTCACACTCATTCAGTTCGCAGATAAGACTCTTCAATCACGCAGGCCAACCCTCTCAGTAAGTAAGAAAACATGACTCAGTGGAACTTTTAGAAGATTTCAACGACACACTGGCTCAAGCTGGAAGACCGCACTGGCTATAAAATGAAGTATAAATAGTGCTTGCCTCATCCTGACACAGGAACATGCAACAGGAAGAGCCCTCCCAAGAGAAATGGGATCTCTTGAACGGAGCCACCAAACCCTTAGGGCAACCTGCAGCCTCATGAACTTGTTCTGAAAGGAACCACAGCCCTTCAAAACAACTGCAGTAAAGCCTTTCAGAGCAGCAGGCACTTACTGACGAGTATTGGCTATTTTCAGTAGGAGATATGAGGATCCGATATCACCCGAGGTTATGACCTAATGAAAAATCTGCTGAGGTAACAAAGATTTTCAAAGTTTTCCTTAGGTACAGCCACACCCAGTAGTTCTGGGCAGGACCCTTTTCAATGCCACCGTCCTTGCAAGTATCTCAGCAGTAAATATTAAATAAAAACATGATACTAGGAAACTGTACTTGAGACTCAATATAGGAAGAGTAAATATTCCACTCTGCTTTTTTTTTTTCTCCCCCTTCACTCAACATCAATTTTTCTAAGGAAAAAAAGATCAAAGACCTGTCTTACTGACTTGAAAAGATTTAGTTTATTTTGTAAATGCATCCAAAAAGTTTCAGAAAAAAACAGATTATCAGGACTTCCCAAAACATGACAACAGATCAAAAATTATTTTTTAAATGAAAAATCTGGAAGTGATCTGTTACAAATAAGTTAATTCTGATACAGGAGAAATGAAGCGTTCTTAACACTAAAAGAAATAAAAATCAGCCAATACTCGTGAGCTATAAATACCTCCAGAATTAAATCTTCTGGATCCTCTAGACTACTCCCCTGATTACATAAACTTCCATGCAGTTCTCAGAGTTGTAAGCATCTTGTTGACTTCAGTGATGCAGATTCCCCCCACCCTCCTTTGCAGCTTTCAGACAAGGCCTCAATAAAACCAAATAGGATATATGTTAATTTGGCAATTCATCATGAACCTTCCATATACTTACAATCCATTCTGTGGATCCTTTGTACTGCCAAATTATTGATTACTTCTAAGTTTCTTAGATTTAGTCCCTATGAAATTACATCAAGTATTTTTCCCCTTTGAATTAAGGTGGATCAGCACAGGCAGTGTGGTTTTGTTTCAGTAAAATTCAAGTCGGAAGAAAACCAGGTGGCTTGAGAACAGACAAGGTACCACGGGCCTGTGACTACCACATGACCAGTTTTAATACTCAAGCCAAGCTCAGAATTTATTATGAGTCAGAAGACGGCTGCCTCACAGCCTACCTCAAGTGTGGTTTCACCTGGCTCACTCCTGGGGACTTAGGCCATCTCCAGCACAAAACCCAGGATACTACCATAACCTACCACTCTAGTGAGCTGAAATACCCACACTCAACTGGGAGTTTCAGTGCGAAATGCTGAACTAAGTGGCCACAGCAGTTATTTTCTCAGTCCTCACATGAGCCCTGTAGGTCCTGCTTTAGGGGCACCCCGGCACAAGCAGGTGGAAGAGGCACTCCTCCTGCATCTTCTGATGTTTCACTCTGCTTAAATGGAATTTAAGGGATGCCACTGTGCTGCTCTCATAAGAAGACATATGAAGAATCGAAGCACCAGCGCCCATTACAAGGCTGCAACCCGAGCTCCTACCCTAGTACCTTACCATTTGTCCACAGTTGCTATTTATCTAAGAAATTCAGGGTGCTACAAGAACATGGTCCACCGCACCAGGTCAGACCACTGGTCTGCATCCAGCCTCTGGCCCAGGGCTGGAGAAGGAAAAGCCAGCAGCAGCATCCAAGCGCTGTGCTCCACTGAACGCAGCAGCGAGGAGAGCGAAGGGGCAACCCCTCTTTCCCACCGCCGCAACCAGAGGCCTTCAAGAGAAGATTTCAGAGAAGTTTACCTCAAAAGCCTTTAGCAGGAGCACTCGCCTCACTCGCAGTTCCCTGCCTATCAACTGGTATGAGGCTTTCTGGGAGTTTACATCACTTACACACCGCTTGGAGCTTGAACCCGTCGGGCTCAGGCGCAGGAGGGCTCCCCGCGCTCCCCGCACCAAGGCACCGCCTCACCGGCTGCCCTCGGCTCCAAACTGGCCCCCGGGGCGGGCCCCGCAGCCCCTTACCTTGCTGTCATCCATGTGTGCCGCCAGCTCCGGCCCCGCACCGCCGCAGCCCCTGCTCGGGGAGCGCACCGGAGCCGCCCGCCCCCGCCCCGGCGGACACCAGCGCTCACAGACCCCCAGCGCGGCCCGCGGCCGCCGCCCTCGCCCGCCCCCCCCCTTT